CATCTGACCTCAAAGGCATTCCCCTCCACCCAGCCAGCCACAACAGGGGACTGAATGTAGGGAAGGCTGTGGGAGTGGGGCCAGCAAGGGAGCTGGCACAGCCACATTAATTTGGGGCACCGGCAAAGATATCGCCTCCATTTTGCTGCCCACCAGGCCCCACATGCGCACTGGAGCATGGGATTCCAGGAACCTACAGCACCACAATGACCCTAAATCTCACCCTCAGAGCATCCATGGGGCAGAGCCTTCCCAAAAAGAGCCCACTTATGCCAGAGTAAAGTGGGGGGGACCCCAGGGATAAAGGCAATTGGGGAACAGATCCAGGAATGGGAGAGACCCTGTCCTCAAATGGTGGGGTAATACCTGTTCTCCACAGCCCCACGGGACCAATGCTCACGCTGCCACCATGGGGTTTGCACCCTTTGCACACATGCTTCCACATGGCACAGAGGCCCAGACCCCTCCTGTCACTGCCCCAGGCACTGACTGAATTGGATCTGCAAGCAGCAAGTGCCTGGCACTGATTTACACCCCAGATGGGGCAAACCCCCTCCCCATTCTCAGCAGAGACCCATGCACCAGCCAGCCCCTTGCCCTGGACCCCCACGCCCCTGACCTTGCTCCTCATCTGCCCTGAGGTGGACACCTTCCGGATGAGCTTGTGCGAACTGTCCTCCTGCTCGCCCTCACTGTCCGATGACTCCTCGCCACCTGCCTCGGGTGAGATGGGTGCCAGCTTGTCTGAGTCCAGGGATGACACCGATTCCCGGGTCTTCCTCAGGAACAGGTCCCCGGGCGCCAGCTTTTCGGCCATCTTTCCACCCAGCCTGGCTCAGGGCTCTGCTGTGTCCAGTTACAGCCCTGGGAGGACAAGGACACACAAGAGTGGTGGAAGAGCCCTGAAAGGGGGTGCACAGGCCCTCACCCTCTATGAGTCAGCCAGCCAGGAGGTACAATCCTGGAAATGAGGGCAGCCAGTGCTTCCTCGCCCAGGAACACTGCTCAGGGTGGCTTCCTTGCAGGCAAAGTTTTCCTTCCTTGCGTTTTTTTTTGGTGTCCCAACTCTTCCTCACCCTGCCTGGCATCCCAACAGCGTCCCTCGCTCTGCCGCGGGAGGCTGCGGCCACCCCAAGCCCCGGCATTGGGGTGCCCCTCCCTTGCCGCAGCCTGTGCCAGCCCCCCCTCCGCTGCCCATCCTCAGAGTGCTGTGCTGCCCTCAGTGGCCGGGGAGAGGGGGCAGAATTCTCCATAAAAAGCAGCAGCTGCTGCCCGCCATCCCAGCAGCTGGGAAGGGCTGGGAGCATCCCCTGACTCCGCGCCGGTGGGTCCCCAGTCCCAAGCAGGTGGGTGCAGGTGGGAGGGGTGGGGGAAGGATGGAGAGGCGCGGGGCACCCCGCATGCGGAGGAAGCCACGTCGCCTCGGCAGTCCTGGCCG